TTGCTACAATCAATTATTGCGTTAGTGACAACAAGACATTTTGCTCTGACATTAACAACGAAAATGATTATATATTCAAATGGGCAGCCAGTGCTCTGTTGCTTGTACAGGAGTATGAGCTGATTGATGCTTTGGTTTTCAACTTGTTTCAGTTCAATTATACAAACATCACATTGATCATCAGTCCACCATTCTGTGAAGACATCAGCGAAAATGATATAATAAATCATCTTCAACTCTTGACAACATGGGTGAGTATACATACATGATCATTAATTATAAATTATGCTACATACACAAAACTGAATTGCTGTTGTGCACATGCAGTAATTTTGTTTCACAAAAATTGCATTATTCCTTCTTACATTTTTCTAATTGTATAAAAATATTTTAAACAATGAAAAGGCCAATTACATTATAAAATTGTCGCAAAACATTTAACTTTGATGAGATTATCAATTTCTATACACAATACTTGTAGGGCACCTTCTTGTGCACTACCGTATAGCAGGAAATTTTGGAGGGAATTAAATTTGGTAAATTGGCGGTTTGATAGCCATTCGCCAAAATAAAACCTACTGTTTTGAGCCATTATATGCATGCTCAATGGCACATGGCCACTAATCTGCCAAGTTAAAACTCACCAATCACCAAATTTAACTACCTCCAAAATTTCCCATTATATGGTATAATTTTTTGCAAAATTCACAAATTTTTGAAAAAAATCAAGAAATTTTCATAAAAATAAAACTCTGAACTGCAAAAAGGGTAAGACCCCTAAACCTATAGATGTGATTATATGATAAATACATATTTATTTTGTGTGATAATTAGTTGAAGTTCTATGCTGATAAGTCTCATGGCTACAAAGGAAAACTTTGGTCCCAGGGTTTTGCAGTGCATTTAGATAATCAAGACAAGGAGAAGTCATATGATATTACGGTATATGATACAGTAGAAAAATTGCACTATTCTTTGCTAGTACTGCAGTTTGTTTTCGTAATTATTATTGTCCTAACACTACTGTTTCGAATTGTTTCACCTAGTTTTGCAAATGAAA